GCGTACTCGTGGGCCGTGCGCGTCAGCTCCTTGGTGATCACCAGCTGGGAGATGTCCACCCGGTTACACAGCAGGTCCGAGATCACCTCCTTGGCGTGGGCCACCGCGCCCGCCGGGTCCCTGACGGAGACGCCCGGTCAGAGCCGGACGCCTGGGTTCCCCCAGCAACCGGGGCAGGGGCTGGGGCTTAGAGCAGGGGGGCGGGGAGCCAGGACTCATGGGTTCTCTCCCTGGCTCTGGGAGGGGTGTGGGGTCTAGTGGTTAGAGCAGGGGGGAGTTGGGAGCCCAGACTCCTGGGTTCTCTCCCTGGCTCTGGGGGGGGGGGGGGGGGGAGTGGTGGTAGGAGCGGGGGGCTGGGTGCCAGGACTCCTGGGTTCTCTCCCTGGCTCGGGGGGGGGGGGGGGGGGGGGGGGGGGGGGTGGGGGTTAGGGGGGGGGGGCTGGGCGCCAGGACTCCTGGGTTCTCTCCCGGCCCCACCTGTCGATGAGCAGTTTCTGCAGGCAGGTGTTGATGAGGTTGGCCACCAGGGGGCAGTTGTCGCGCCGCACGGTCTCGATGCCCTTGCAGTCCATCTTGTCGTGGGCGCTGGCGCTGGAGGAGAAGTAGAGCCCGGCGTAGCGCTTCTTGTTGATCAGCAGGTAGGGGAAGTACACCTGGGGGGACAGTGGGGGGGGGGGGGGGGGGGCTGGAGTCCTGCCCACCCCCACTGCAGAGCCCTGCTCCCCCCATACCCGCCAACCCGGCCCCCCGCGGGCCATGCACGGATTCAACCCTGCGCTCCCGGCCCCCAGGGTGGTGGGGGGTTAGACGAGGCCCCCGCCCCCTCCCCCACTCACCTTCTCGAACTCCAGCTTGATGGGGGGCGGGAAGTGGCCGGAGACCCAGGTGGCCGCTTCCCGCCCGATCCGCATGGCCTCCGCCACCGAGGGCACCCCCAGGCGGCACATCACCGAGTCCGTGTCCCCGTACACCACCTGGGGGGGCAGACAGGGTGAGAGAAAGACCTGCCCCCCCCGCCCCCCACGACCGAGCCTGTGTCCCCGTACACCACCTGGGGGGGCAGACGGGGTGAGAGAAAGACCTGCCCCCCCCCCACGACCGAGCCCGTGTCCCCGTACACCACCTGGGGGGGCAGGCAGGGCGAGAGAGACCTGCTCCCCCCCAGACCCAGCCCGTCCCCGTACACCACCTGGGGGGGCAGACGGGGTGAGAGAGACCTGCCCCCCCCCCACACACCAGGTCCCTGTACAGTACCGGGGGGTGCAGGGGAGGGGGAGAGACCCTGCCTTACACCATCTAGCCCATAGACCTCACACCACTTGGGCCCCTGCCCCCCACCTTGGCCTCAGCCCCACCCCTCACCTTGGCGTCGGCGCTGTACCCGTTGGCGATGGTGTATTTCGACTCCACCAGCTGCTTCGTTTTCTCAATCATCTGGCGCCCAAAACCCGTCACGCTCTGGGGGGGGGGAATACAGGGGTAACGGGATTAGCGGGGGTGGGGACCCCACCAGGGAGAGACTGCATGGGCTACCCCCAGCTCTGCCGGTGCCCCTCACTCCCGACCCCCAGCCCCTGCCAGCCCATCCCTGCCCCCCCCAGCTCTGCCGGTGCCCCTCACTCCCGACCCACAGCCCCTGCCAGACCAGCCCTGCCAGTGCCCCTCACTCCCTACCCCGGCCCAGCCCACGCCCCCATGTGACTGGCACACGGCCTGGCCTGACTCACACAAAGGGCTCCTGTTCTGGTGCCAGCCCCCCCGCCCCACGGAGCAGCGGTACCCACAGGAAGCAGGGCGGGGCCCGGCACAGCCCTGTCCTGAGCTGAGCAGGGATAGGCCAGTGCCGGGGCAGGGGACCCACAGGCTCAGTCGGGGGCACTCTGCCCGGCCGGGGGCCTGGCTCCAATGCCCCAGGGCGGCGCTACAGGGGCTGGGCTGCAAGGGGGTAGGCGGGGGGGTTAGTAGGAGGCACTGGGCACTGGAAACTTGCTACCCCAAAGCGGTGCACCTTTTCTCAGCAGCGGGCAAGGGGTCCCCGTCTACCCAGCCCCCACCCCAGAGGGGCCGCGTCCCAGCGCCGGGTGAGGGGTCCCCGTCTACCCAGCCCCCACCCCAGAGGGGCCACGTCCCAGCGCCGGGTGAGGGGTCCGCGTCTACCCAGGCCCGCGCCCCACCCCAGAGGGGCCTTGTCCCAGCACCGGGTGAGGGGTCCCCGTCTACCCAGCCCCCACCCCAGAGGGGCCGCGTCCCAGCACCGGGTGAGGGGTCCCCGTATACCCAGCCCCGCGCCCCACACCAGAGGGGCCGTGTCCCAGCGCCGGGTGAGGGGTCCCCGTCTACCCAGCCCCCACCCCAGAGGGGCTGCGTCCCAGCGCCGGGTGAGGGGTCCCCGTCTACCCAGGCCCGCGCCCCACCCCACAGGTGGCTGGTGGGGGTGGGCGGAGCTGCCAGCCGTGCTGTGACCAGCAGCCTGGCATTCGGAAAGCCCGGGGCAGGAGCACTGCTGGGGCGGGCGGCTCCGACCCTGCCCGGGCTGGGGGCGGATTGAGGAAGTGCCAGGGAAGCCCCTGGAGCAGGGCTGGGCACAGAAAGTCCCTGAGTCCCCCCAGCCGGACAGACAATGGGGCAGCAGTGCCAGCCCCGCCTGGGAAATCCCCCCCAAGCGCAGGCTGGGGAGGGGGAGGGAGTCCAGCCCCCGCCCCCCCCGGCTCACCTGGGAGATCTCCAGGCAGGGCAGCTTGCCCACCTGGGCGCCGGTGAAGCCGTAGACCGAGTTGGCGCTGACCTTGAGCGCCAGCTGCCGCCCGTCCAGCACCTGCCGCGTGAAGGGGTCGGTCTCCCGCTGCAGCTCTGCCTTGGCCCTGCGCCCAGGGAGAGGTCAATGCCATCAGCACAGGGGGGGCCCATCCCAAGTCCCTGCGACCCCCGTGTTTCCCACCCCCACGCAGTCCTCGTCCCTCCCTCAGACCCCACCCTTCCCAACACCTCCTGCACCCCCCCCAGCTGCGAGGGGGGCTCAGACCCCCCGACTCCACTCGGGGCCCCCCCCTTACCTCTTGCGGGCGGCCAGCAGGTTCTCCAGGATCTCAGGGAGCAGCCCCTTGCGCACGGAGGCCTTGACAAAGAGGTCGCCCGTCGGGGTGCGGATGAACTCCTCGGGGGACAGCCTGGAGGGGGGGATGGCAGGGGGCTCAGGGACACCCCTGGTGCCCCCCCACTGTCCCTTCCCCCCCACAGAAGGGCCACATTTAACCCCAGCCCAGACACTGCCTGGGGGGCGACCCCAGCTCTGCTTTGTCCCAGCCCCCCAGAGCTGGTGTGGGAGGGGGTCTCCATCTCCACCCTGCTCCCCCTCCTCCTGGGGCACAGCCCCTCCCCCCATGTAGCATAGGGCCCCCCCACTTCCCCTGCCCCTCCCCCACCCCAGCCCCCTTCCCCTCCCCACCTCCCCCATGTAGCACAGGGACCCATTTCCCCTGCCCCAGGGCCCTCCGCCTCCCCACCCAGGGCCCAGCCCCCTCACCCGTAGCGCTCCGGCGCCCCCTGCTGCAGCAGCGTGGTGTAGCACAGGTTGTGAGCCATCATGATGGAGGGGTACAGGGAGGAGAAGTCCAGCGTGGCGATGGGCACGTCGTAGTACCTGGGGTGGGGGGGGAGGTTACCGTCTCCTGGTGCCAGCACCCCCCCCCCCGAGACCCTCCCAGCACTGTTCCCCGTGGAGACCCCACCCCGCAGACCCACCGAACGCCCGCCTGTCGCCAGCTCGTCACCTCCCGCCCCCCTCAGCTCCCTATGGGCTGCTCCCCACTGCCCCCCCCCTCGCACTCACCCCTTCTGAGGCTCAATGACCGTGGCACCGGCGTAGTCCTCGCCCCCTTCCGACTTCACCACGGGCATCACCAGGTCCTGCTTCATGGCCTGCGGGGAGTGGGGGCATCAGGGCCCTGTGGGGGGGTCGAGCCAAAGGATCCCCAACACCCTCAGCCCCCACCCCCGCAACGGGTTGGAGTCACCCCTTCTGGCCCCCTCCCCTGCCTGGGCAGGAGTTGCCCTGGGACGAAGCGGGGGATTTCCCTTAATGTTGTGCATGAACACGGTGTGTGCCTCAGTTTCCCTGTGTGCTGGGTGTGTAACGGCAGGCGGCGGGGGGGGGAGGTCATTGCTGCAAGGGGCCAGGTGTGACCTCGCCCAGCAGCCAGGACCCCGACGACGGCCTGGAGATGGGGGACGCAGCGACTGGTGCAGCCGGGTCTGGCCAGTGCGGGGGGGACAAAGGATGGAAGAGAGGGGCCCAGGTGATCTGTTTACCTGGGACTGAGGACAAAGGAGGTGGCTGTTAGGAGGGGAGATGGGGGCCAATCTGGAAGCGGGGGCTGGGCAGGGCACAAGGACAGACCCAGCTGGCCGGGGCGGGGACTGGCCAGGCCAGGCACCTGAAAGCTGCCTGGGCTGGGGTGGGACGTACGATAACCCCCCCCTTTGCGCTGGCTGAGGGTCCCTGCGGGCTGGAGCCCAGGGGGTGGCCCCAGGGGGCAGAGCGAAGGGACCCCTGAGGGGCGTGCGGCAGAGCCAGGTGCTGGGGGCTCAGCGCTGCGGCCCCAGGAGGCGGCGGGGCCCAGGGCTGGAACCCCAAGAAGACGTCACACAGACGGGGGCCCCTCCCAGGGGCCGTACGGAGCCTAGCGAGCCCGAGACCCCCCCCCCGGCCCCCTCTCACCTGGCGCAGCAGCTGCGACACCACCTTGACCTGCTGGCCCCGGGAGAGCAGGTAGCCCAGCGGCACCCCGGTGACTCGCGCCATCTCCATGTAGTTGATGACGCACATCAGCTTCTCCAGCAGGCGCAGCGGCAGGTAGGCGTCCTTCAGGCAGTACACGGCCAGGCGCCGGCGCGTCTGCTCCGACCCGTTCTGGGGGGACAGGACACGGTGTCGGGGGGCTGGGGGGGAGCCCGGGCAGGGTTGGGGAGCCAGTGGGGGGCAGGGCTAGCCCTAGGGTGACCAGACAGCAAGTGTGAAAAATCAGGACAGTGGGTGGGGGGTAATAGGAGCCTATGTAAGAAAGAGACCCCAAAACCAGAACTGTCCCTATAAAACCGGGACATCTGGTCACGTGGGCTAGCCCACGCCAGGCTGGGAGGACACCGCACAGGCCAGGGACATGGGCCGAGCCGGGTCAGGCGTGGGGAGCACCCGGAGGTCCTGTCAGGTGGGAGGGAGAGGGCAGGGGCGGGGCCTATCCGGGGGACGGGGCGTGCCGAGGCCCCACCCTCACCTGCAGGTCGGTGATGATGGAGTGCTGCACGTCCTCCTTCTGCTCCTGCAGGAAGTGGAAACTGACGGCGTTCAAGGTGTACGAGCGCAGCTTGTATTCGCGTAGCAGCACCTGGGGGGGGGCGGGACCATGAGACCCCCGGTGCCCCTCACTCCCGACACGCAGCCCCTGCCCCCCGGCTCTCCTCCCCACCGGTACCACTTATTACTGACACACAGTTCCCACCCCCCGGGGCCCCTCACTCCCGTCCTGCAGCCCCTGCCCCCCCGGCGCTCCTCCCCACCGGTACCTCTCATTACTGACACACAGGTCCCACCCCCCGGCGCCCCTCACTCCCGTCCTGCAGCCCCTGCCCCCCCGGCGCTCCTCCCCACCGGTACCTCTCATTACTGACACACAGTTCCCACCC